TAGAAATTCAGAATTAAGAGTAATATTATAAAATATGTATTGGTATAATGTTTTCAAGTTCATGCAGCTTCTTATATTTTTACATCTTAAATTCATTTTATATCAAATTCGAAAGGATGATAGATGCTGCTGTATCAATTCCTTCTTTAATAATCTTTTCAGGGCAGAAGTTGAGCGTAGCATGTGTGTAAATAAATACAATTCATTCATATAGTAAAGCAATTTTAAAAAATTATTTTACAAAATATAAAAAAGCGATTTCTCTCCAATTCATGAAACTCGTGTTTGCGGTGCACTTTTGGATCCAACTCTTCAAAATGTTATTAGAGGTGTACGTTGCAGAGTATCTCACAGACAAACAGCAATCTCCTGAGGAATTTTTAATATATATGTCGTAGGCAATGGTTATTTTAGAAAAATAGCTTTTGACTAGGCAAATGCTGTCTGCCTGGTCAAATAGCTTTCGCCCATTTATTTTTGCTATTTTCCTAGTCGAATGTTATTTTCCTAGGCAAATGGTATTCAGCGAAACATGCATTGATGTATTTCAAGTAAGTACACATGTAGGCGGGGAAAACCCTTCCCCCGCATAAAAAACTAATCTAACTCCAAGCCTATTTTTAAAAACGATAAATATTTTTATTATAGGGAGCCACCCCCAATTTCTATAATTTTAAAATATGTTGTTAAGGTCATCACTTTGAGTAATGTTGTGAAGGTTTTAGTTGGGACTCGTTGCTTATAAAAAAGTTAGGTAATTCTTTAGAAAAACTTACATAGATTCTCACCTCCAATGTTGATAAAATGATGCGCATTCGACACGTTTTTGTACGAAACAAAAGAATGTTGTGTGGGTGAAAAAGTGTATGTGTGGATCCAGCAGTTGGTTCCTCCCCCCCCTCCGCTCTTCGGGGGGCTGCAATACCGTTAAACTAGACACATAATGTACCTTGATAATGTACCTTGCAAAATACATGCGTTGACTTTCCACGCGTGGAAAGTTATAAACCCATGTGGCACCTCGTCTCGCGTGGAAAGTGTATGCGTAGAGACAGTAGGTTTCGCCCCCCGCAGAGAGGGAATAATATCCCGAAGTTGAGACCACGCGCACTTTATTGCTCACATCGAAAACAACTTATGTGTAAAACTTTAGGTAGGTCGGTCGGGAGCAGCTAGGGGTCATTCGGAAATACATTTAAAAAACTAACCAAATCCAACCTAATTGTTGGGAAAGATTTTTACAAAGATTTTTACCAAGAGAGCCGCAAAAAATATCAAAATTTAGAAAAGGCCCTATTTTGAATAATTAACTACAATTTATTCCCATTTTCCTAAAAAGCGTTCAGGCAAATGCTATTTGCCTAAGAAAATAGCATTTGAACACAAATAAACGGGCTAAAGCCATTTGACCAGACAGATAGCATTTACCTAGTCAAAAGCTATTTTCCTAAAATAACTATTTGCCTATATACCACATATATATATGATCCACAAAATGGTTCCCCTGAATATTAGAAATGAGAAGGTTAGATTATTTTTATATTTTAGTTATTAATGTTAGCGACGTTTTAGATCATATTTTAACAAATATTTTTATTTTAGTAAAAATTATTGTCCGATTGAATGACATTGTTTTTATATAAAATGAGAAATATAATTAGATATATTTTTTAATAATATATCCACATTTCCATTTGATTATATGCTATATAAAAATTAATTTATACTTTTATTACAGTTTTTATAAACTATATATTTAAGCAATATCTAATCTAGGTAATTTACAATATCTAGATTTTACAAAATCTAGGCTTAATCCGCTTAATTTTGTAATTAAGCTTATATAAGTTTTACATAATGTGTATTTGTGCAACAGCTTCTATATTAATCGCCAAAAATAAGAAAATTATTATTTTTATGATATATATAAGTTAGATTTCCATGTTTAGTTTTACTTTTTTACAATAGGCTAATAAAGAAGCATATTATTCTAATAAGCCGTATCACCTTCTTGAAGTTAAAAAATTACGATTTGTGTTGGCTGCGAAACATACATACATTATTCCTCCTGAAGATCCTATTCTTGTCGAAGCTAAAAAGTATTTACATGTATCAAAATCTATCGAAGATCCTCTATAATGGTGGAATAAAATGAAGTTGTCGCTGCCGAATTTGTATTTGATTACAAGTTCAGCATCTGAACATGCGTTTTCTTTTACAGGTTTACTTATCATAGCAAAACGTTCTGCGTTAAAACCATCAAAAGCTAATAAAATATTATTTATTCACGATAATTTCAAATTATTAAAAGATATATATTTAAAGTCAGTAAAATACATATAAGTTATTATATTATTCATATTACTTATACAATTTAATGTGAGGGAAATGTTTAATAAATCTAAAAAGTCTAATTATACAGTGAATTACATTTTATTTTTGTTACGTATGTGATGATCAGTAATAACATTTTAAGATAAATTTTATTTTATTTTGTTGTAAGGAAAGACATTAGTAATGCTAATAAAGTGATCGTATTTTGAAAACAAGCTATATGTATTTTATATACTAAAAATCTTAATATAATATGTATATAACTATGTATTATTTTTATGCTGTTTTTGCTTTCATATTATTTATCAAAAGTTAAAATTAAACTTTATCTTAAATCAGAGGGATTTAAAAAAATGTACTAACGCCGCCGTTCGCCGCCACCGCCGTCGCCGCCACCACCGATTCCGTCGTCGTTAAACAAAGAAAAATTTTCAGCGAACTCGCCGCCATCAAGCTATTTTGCTTCAAACGCCGCCGCCGATATGAAATATAACGGCGCAAGGGTATATGTAATTTGATCCGCCATGGTGTTGCACGTCCGTTGAAAAGTAGGACTAGGATTGTCCAGACTCTTATATAGGGACTCTAGATGGTTATATTTTTATTTTTTTCTAATAACTATTCTTTTTACGAACCTTTAAATATGCAATCCCATCAAAAATCCGCAATACAAAAGCGTTTTATTAATTAATATCTTCATTTTTTTAGAAATACTGTTTTACATAAGCCGTTTAGTGTGCTTCTTTTGCTCTTTAAATATTTTGGTTTCTCGTTATTTTTTTCAGAAAATATTGAGTAAATTTATATA